AGGAGCCCCTAGTAGCGTCCTTGCTCCTAGTAGCGATACGTAGCAAACTAGAGCAAATGGCCATTCTTCAGAGCCTGGTTGAGGGTTGGTCTCGGCAAACCCCGTGGCGGAAACCACAAGTGGCTCCTCAGCTACGGCTGGTCTGTCAAGCTGGATTTCGGAGGTGAGGCCACGAAATGCATTCCGGTCGGCCAGTCTATAGCCTATCCGGTTTCAAACTCAGCGTGGGACATGGACCGTGGCCCATCTGGACGAAGAGTTCGGATTGCCTGTGGAAAGAAGCAAGGGAAGGCCCAGGCAAAAAGGAAGAGAAGTTTGGTTCGACAAAGGTCGGAAAACTGTGCGAAAGCTATAGGAAAATATCGACTACGTGCGGTTGCACAGCGATGCAACCACTGCACCTCCATGGCTCTCGGTCCACGTTGTGCACCACTCAGAGTGCGCCCAGGGTGTGTAAAAGTCAACACTTCTCAGCGACGTGGGAGTATGTAAAAAGCAATCAAAAGGCATACTCGAAATCTTCAGTCGTGTTGATCGACGAGCTTTTGGAGCTTACTCTTGTGCGTGCTGCTTCAATCTGCCAAATGCTACGCGCCTGATCATGAGCCCTGAAACTCCCCGGTACGAAAGCCGCAATTTGTAGTTCAATCATGTTCAAAGTCTCATGTGGAACCCTCTGAATGACATCGAAGTCGAAGAAGCGTGAGAAGCATGCAAATTGCAACACGGCCGGCTTTGCTTTTTTGGCATCCACCACTGTGCAAAGAAAACTCGGCTGTTCAGATCAACTGTAAAGCCCTGAAGAGGCTGCTTGACTCTTAGCGACCGCAAGATGAACCTGAGCACTGCTCGGCGCTTGTTGCATACTTGAGAAATGAACAAACCGTCAATTATGGCCTCAAAGTCTTAAGGCCTATTCTGTTTTCCTGTGTCTTTGGTCCTTGCTGCTCACTATTTACGTGTTCACCAAAATCTGGGAAACGTAAAGCTCATTAAGGCTCGGGATTCCTTGAAGAAGGAACCCTTTTGCATCTGATCTGTAGTAAAATACCCCAAAGAACTCTCAAAGAGTGAAGTCCAAGACTTGAAAAAACACTGGGAGACGGCTGGACTCTTTGCCACAGCTGGTTTTGCCAAGTGAGTAAAGTCGTTTGCATCGCACTTGAGAAGTTAACCCTCCAAAGAACATTCGGTTGTTGAATCAAGATAGTGGGAAACACATGATACAAAAAACACATCTGTCTAAGCCCCCACACATCTTCAAGATGCTTCCTTTCGCTGGGCAAGTCATCAAAACGACAGGTAGGACAGGAATTGCTTTTCTCCACCTCAGCACCGACAATTGAGCGCATGGTGCGTGCGTGCGTGCGCGGGCGTGTGCGGGCGTCCTGGCGTGCCTGCGGGCGGGTGTGCGGGCGTGGGGGCGTGCGGGCGGGCGGGCGGGCAACCGGGTGGGTGGATGGGTGGGTGGGTGTGAGCCCCTTAGAATCACAGGAGTTTGGTTCCGTCTTGATGTTTTTAAGTAGCAGGGGGCACTGGGGGTGCTGATGAGACCGGTGCTAACAAAGACATTCATCAGCTACCTGTGATACAGTTGGAGACTTCCAACTGTGCACCTGCAGCGTGATGACTTTCAATTCCTGCTGTCCCATGTTTTCAACTAGAACAAGCTCTCTTTCTTGGCTTCGGTGCTGCAGTAAAATGCTCATGAGCCCGCCCGTCGTGCAGTTTCAACTTGGACTTGGAGGTTTTCAAGTGTTATATATTGCAACTTTCGAGATTGTTGAGCGCCGCTCCATTCATGAATTTCGGGGCTTTGTACCTGTAGTCTTAGGAATATGGTCACTTAGGTTGCCATGTGGCGAGCGGCATTCAGTTCAGTACGCATTATCTTGAGAGTGTGTGTGTGTGTGTCACCCCCTGTCCCTATGGATTTCTTTAAAGTACAGCAGGGGCAGCAGGGGGCCAGCGCATGGCATCACGACCCTGGCCAACGAAGCTAGTGATGTCATGGGAAGCAGTCGGAGACGTCTGACTGTGTACCTGCGGAATCCTTGTGGTTTAAGCTTCTAGGGGCTCCTGGCATCGCTACTAGGAGCATTCTTGCTACTAGTAACAATGCATTACCTGCAGAATCCTTGTGGTTTAAACAATATTGTTTTCGACTTTTCACCATTCCGTTGTGCGCAGGGCCATTTCGACAGGTGAGTTGGCAGGTCGTCCAATGCAGTATGGTAACTGTCTAATGCATCCGTGATTCAGTAACTGAAATTATGCTCATTCAGTTGAGCTCTATATCTAGGTGTGGAGGAACCAAATACAGCCATGAAAAGGTTGCAAACATTGAGATTCAGATGCGTTCGCACTGGGTATGAGGTTTTTGTAAAGTCTGGGCTGAGCACCCAAGTGATGAGGCAGTCATCATGGAAGAGATGGCCACAAGGCATTGCTTTGGCCTTTGAACCTGCGAGGCAACTTTCTGATTTCTCGGGCGATTTGGCGACGAAAGTGGACTTATCCTTGAACCAACACGAAAGAAAGTGAAGCCTCGCGCAGTGGTGAAATCAAACAATCTCTACTCCCACAATGTTTTCGAGTAGAATTCAAACGAGAATCAAACATCTGTCACGACAACGCAACAGAGTTATGAACCACCTGGTGTTCCTTGTAGCTACAAGCAGGCAATCCCAACCCAAGCAATCCAAGCCGAATCATAATTAGCAGTTCAGTAGCGAGAGTCTTTCCATGTGTCGCTCATATACTCAATTGGTGGCATTACAGTTGGATAACTGCTTCTTTGCAGCATCAATTTGCGTTCAAGTATGTTCCGCGTGCGCCTGCAGGCATTGCTTCTTGGCAAACGACACAAATGTCCTGACTGAAGTTTGAAGGGCCAAGGCTTGCAAGGCTGAAAGGCACAAGTCAATGCGAATCTATTTTAGTTTAGGGCTATGGATATATGACATGTACATCATGCATTCTTCCATTTGTTTGAAACGTTAAGGGTCTTTGGGCCTTTCTTTCTGCCTTTGACGGGCCAGGAGCCCGTAGTAGCGTCCTTGCTCCTAGTAGCATCCTTTGCTTTGAAACAAACTCCGAACGCATCCTCTTCAAGCACCGTCTTCACACGCAGCTCGGCACGAGCATCTCGTGACATTCCGGGACGACTATCCCCCTTCGTCGCCGCAACAAGGGGTTCGGCGAAGCCGAAAAGGACACACACAGAAAGCGTTTGAACGTAAATTGGCATTCGAAACGTTAGGCTAGCAGAGCAGAGATGAAAGCATAGACAGCACAAAGACAACGAAAGCCATTGGAATCTGATGGTCTGTCAAAATGGACAGATTCAGGTTTGTCTGCACAAAAGCTTGATTAAGTCCTCTGCACCGCACATGCATCATGTTTTCAGGTTTCAGGAGTGTAAACCCACTGACTGCTTGTTTTCTTTTGTGGACAGGCTCTGCCTCGTCTACCAGGATCATGCCCTGTGCTGCCAAGAGCTCTGCAAGGGTCACGGGAGTGACTGCATCACCTGGGTTTAAGTGGATACTTTGGATTCCAGGAATGCTTTCAGAAACTCACAATCGCGAGAAATTCATGATTTTCTCAATGGCCTCAAGAAGTGACATGGAGAACATGTGACGAAATAAATGAATCTTAACATTGCTGTTTGGATTCCAAATCAGACTATCTAATTGACATTGCTGGCAAGCATCCAAATTGGCCCTTGTTGTGCTTGCGGTCTTCTTCGAAACGGCGAAGTTTAGCCTGAAACTCGCAGCATCTGCAAATCTAAACCACAGCGATAGCCTCCAACCTAATTGCGGGACTCTTAAAGGACGCTTAAAGGAACCTAATAGCTTCTAACCTAGAAGCAATGGCCTCCAACCTCATAGCGATGGCCTTCAACCTAATAGTGATGGCCTCCACCCTAAGGCTGACACCTGTTCCTTTGCCTTTTCTCGCACGTCTTCATCAACTTCCTGCAATCAAAAGCATGGAAGAACAGTTCTTCAAAACACAACTCCATAGCTCTTCAGCCTCCATAGCAGCATCTCTCCATCGACTGACCTGGTTCTAATTTGTAACGAAGCCATGCAACACAATTCGTCAAATGCAGTCAACCTCTTCTCGCCATGATTGACTGCACCCAGTTGAAACTCAAAGTTACAAACTATAAGCATTTCGCTGGTAGGTTGGAGGCCATTGCTTCAAGGTTGGAGGCCGTCGCTTCACAAACTATAAGCATTGCTTCTTGTTGCCCTTCAAGCGATGCGCATTGGGGCTGCTCAAAGCTGTGTCACATGCTTGGCGTGGCCTCTGTAGAAACATTGTGCCAGTCTAGCGCCAGAAAGAGCTCCAGTCCCGCTTGCCAAAACCTAAGAAAGTACCACAGCCTTCTGATATGCCATTCTGCATGTCATGCGTCCAAAATCTATGCCTTGCAATGCTCCCGCCATGGTAATTATTGAGAAGCAGCGACAGGTTTGAAATTGACAACTCCTGATGGCCCGCAAAGAAAGAACACACGCTTGAGCTCGGTACTTTGGATTTGAGAAGCGGGTCTGCAGCACAGTAAATGCTGTTTTCCCGACCTGAAAGATTCATGGAACATCTGCAAAATCTTAAAATTTTGTAGAACTGCCACAAGAAGGAGAGTAACGCCAGTTTCAGAGCCTCAACGAATACGTCCCACAGTGAACAGACATGTCATCATGTTCACTGTTGCCAATCGGACCGACAAACTCACAAGTCGCCTCTTCCAAACTTTTGGCCGTCTCCTGTCGCGGGCAAGACCTAACCCTAAGGGTCAAATACGTTTTTTAGACCTAGTAGCAAGAACGCTACTAGTAGCTCCTGGCATTACTACTAGTAGCAAGAAGCTACTAGTAGCAAGGGCACCGCTATTAGTAGCAAGGACGCTACTAGCGTCAAAGGCTTCTTATAGGCTTTTGTGAAAAGAGTGTCATATGTGTGTTCGTAGTAGTTATTCTTGGTAGGCAAGTTGCAGTCATGCCTCGTCCCCACACAGCTTTACCAACGCTTCACAAGCCTCCAATGCAACAAATTTTCGCAGTGCACCATCTCTGAAGAGGCTTATGAAAAGCTCAAAACGAATTTCTCACCTTGATGAAAGTCTTCTTGGACTTCAGCTCCTGGGGTCTTCCAAATCCAGGCTTGGGAATGGCTTCCAACCTACTAGCAATGGCCTCCAACTATGAAGGGACCAGAATTCAACCCGTCTACAAACCAGCTCTGAGGTTGAACAAAAGTCGTCAATGGCCAGTGATGCAAGCGACCTGTTTCAGCTTGGCAATGTCCACCTCCTGGGAATTTGGAATCCACGCAAAGAAGCTACTAGGAACAAGTGCATCGCTACTAGTAACAAGTGCCTTACTAGTAGTAACAAGAAGCTACTAGGGGCTCCTGGCATCGCTACTAGGAGCAAGGACGCTACTAGGAACACTTCCAGTTACATATGGAGCCAATGGCGAACGATTTGAGAACCCAACGGCCAACATGTTCATGAAAGCACAGCAACTGCTTGAGTCCTTTGGAGTGTCTGCCATTGACAGAAGGACTGTGCCGAATGAGTGCTCTGGAATTCGCAAAAGAACATGATTATCATGATAGTCTCATGATGATGCCGAAAACTCTGAATGTACCCCACCCTAAGCTGCTGCATTCTTGAATGACTTCTTGTCAACGGTTGCAAGGAGATCCGCACCCTGAACAAAATGATCGAATTCTGCGGCGCGTGCATAGAGTTGTTTCAAGTAGCACAGCTGAAGTTGTTCCTGTTCTGAATAACACGACTTTTTCAGACTGTGAGCAACAGCAAATGTCTGTTTTGGCGCTCAATTTCAGCGCCTAACACTAGCAACTCACTGCTTGAAGTACTGGATGAGGTTGCAAAGTGGGTCACAGCCAGGCACCTTTAGCAAGCGATGGCCTCTAACCTGCTAGCCATGGCCTCCAACCTAATAGGCTTGATATCCATACGACTGAAAGGATGTGGATCTTGGACTCAACTTCTCTGTAAACTCAATCATGCTTTGCAAAAGAGCATTCTGCGGAACCTCCTCATAGATGTCGCAAAGCCTAACCAGGCAAGTGGCAGCTTTAGAGAGAGGGCGAATGTGCTTCCAAAATCTGCATAGTTCTAGAGACTGTTTTGATCCAAAACAGCTGGATAAGTCACCGAACTCTCGTGAACTACTACGATGAGTGAATTGCACTGAAATGCGCTCAAAATTGAACTAAGGACTTGTATAAAGAATCTAAGTCTTTCAAGATTGTATTATTCTGGCAATTTGAGACCATTGCTAGTAGGTTGGAGGGCATTGCTAGTAGGTTGGAGGCCATCACTAGTAGGTTGGATCCCATCCCTAGTTGGTTGGAGGCCATCTGCTATTAGGTTGGAGGCCATCGCTCTTAGGTTGTAGGCCATTGCTATTAGGTTGGAGGCCATTGCTAGTAGGTTGGAGGCCATCGCTAGTAGGTTGGAGGCCATTTCTAGTAGGTTGGAGGCCATCGCAAGTAGGTTGGAGGCCATCGCTACTAGGTTGGAGGCCATCGCTCTTAGGTTGGAGGCCATCGCTATTAGGTTGGAGGCCATTGCTATTAGCCACACTTCCGGGCCAACTCCTTTGGCCAAGAGGCTCTTGGCGGATGCCATTGTAACTCTTGTGCCCGCAAATCACTGCGTCCATGAGAGCCTGTTCGAGGTCATAGAACCAATCTGAAACTCAAGAACAGTAAATCTTCCTAAATCTAAACGCCGTACAAGTGCTACACACAAACATGCGAACATGCAGTAAACCACATGTTTCATGTGATGCTTTAGTGCCTGCCCTTTGGCCAAGGCGACGCATCCTTCGCTGACTCTCCTGGTCTGAACTCAGAAGCTTCCAAACTCTGCTTCAACAACCTCAACCCTCAATATAGACTCCATCCCATATCATCTCAAGGGTTGGATTTGTGGCCAAGTGTGGCGAAGCAATGTATTTTCCCACCTGGCGCTTTGCGAGACTGGAAAGTGAAACGACAATCTTCTGCGAGGGACCTCAAAGTCTTGTGAATGAACAAGTGTTTGTTGTGTTGATATCTGGACTTATGGAGAAAATCCTTCGATCCACAGGAAATCCTTGGGATTTCCGTAGGTACGATCCGCAGCTCTCATTGTGCAACAGCCAAGACAGGCATTGAGAGACTGCCATTCCAATGCTGCTCTTCAGCATAAGATTCCACGGAGGCTTCATCCAAGGAAATCCGGACATGTGCTTCTGCATTGAAACATGTGCTACTAGTACCTTCTGGTTACTAGTAGCGATGGCCTCTAACATACTTGCGATGGCCTCCACCGAATAGCGTCCTTGCTACTAGTAGCGTCCTTGTTCCTAGTAATGCCAGGAGCTACTAGTAGCGTGCTTGCTCCTAGTAGCGATGCCCTTTAATTCCTAGTAGCTTCTTGTTACTACTAGTAAGGCACTTGTTACTACTAGCGATGCACTTGTTCCTAATGTCAACCTCCCCTCTCCGGTATTTCCGCCCCGTTCATCTCGGAGAGACATGCCACGCAATCCCAGCGTCACGCGGAGTGCCCCAGGCGGCCTTCTCCCTGCGACATCTGAACGTGTCTGGCAAAAGGAGCCCCAAACGTAGCTACTAGTAACAGGTGCATCGCTACTAGTAACAAGTGCCTTACAAGTAGTAACAAGAAGCTATTAGAATTAAATTAGTAGCTTCTTGTTCCGTTCATAATGTCCTTGCTCCTAGTAGCGATGCCAGGAGCCCCTAGTAGCCTTGGCAAAGGGTGCCTCTTTTGCTGACCCAGATGCATGAGGAATGTGTGCATCATACTCGCAGAAACAGCTACCTCATTCATATCTTGGTTTCCACACACATACACACACACACACTGATCAAACTAATTTTGGTTTTGCTTTAGCGACGCGTCCTGGTAAACTCAAGTGTTGCTTGGACCCACATGCTTGGCAGTGCACCACAATGGTTGGCGGATTCTAAAGTGCCTCAGCTGCTGCCCCCGTTCAGGAGACTTCACCTTGCAGACTGTCGGCAAGCCGGTTGCAAACCACGTGGCAAATCATGACACATAGAAAGAGCAAAGTTGCCAAGACATTATAGCAAGAAGGTACTAGGCCATCGCTATCAGGTTGGAGACCATCGCTACTAGTAGCAAGAAGCTACTCGTAGCGACGGCCTCCACCCTCGTAGCTTCTTGTTACTAGTAGTTGGGTTTTGGTTCACTATTTTGTCTCTGTGTGTCATGCCAATCAAAGAGAGCTTGTCAAAATGTGTGAAACTTCCTTTTTGGGATCTGCGCACGAGAATTTGATGCGTGAAACTCTAATGAGTTGACGCTGTGCTTAAAAATGACCCGCCAAAGTTGCTCTGGACGGTGTCTTTGTCGTTCTACCGGAGGCCAACATAGAAAGAGCTGAGCGGCGTGGCTTGTCACCTCCGGCTCCACCTTGGTCATCACTGGCCTTGCTGACAGGCTTCGGCTTCTTCGCCTTTTGGTTCTGAATGGCTGGGTGGCTCAGCAGTTCCTCCAGAACCTGAGCACCACGAATGCAATTGGTCAGCGGCAAATGACCCACTGGAGCCTCCAAGCTGTAGATGAACTCATCGGGCCAATTGCGATTCTTCCAGGTGTCTGTGAACCAAGAGACCTCCTCTGCGAACTTGTCGAACTGGCCGCGATTTTTTCTCCAAATCTTCCTCTGCTGAACAAAGCCAAATCGTCCATTGCTGTGCTCTTGCCAGAGCTTCTCAAGTGTGTCCATGTCCTCTTCAGGAATTGTCTTCACTTCTGCAAAGTAGACCCAACCTCTCTTCTGGGCTTCTGCACCACACATCTTAATGAGCAAACTCCTGGTTTCGGCATCAGCTGCTTTGAAATCCTGTGCCTCCAACAAGCTCTTCAGCTTGCTGAAGTCCTGTCCGCCTGAGGCCACCTCAGCCTCCCCGGCCTCCCCTTCGGCTGCCAAGGCCACAACTGAACTCGACGTCTTCGACGCCTTCGTGTGTTTCTTTGCCTTCCGAGAAGCGGCACCCAAAGAAGCAAGGCCAAGGCTGCCAAGGCTGCCAAGGCCCAAGAAGCTTCCCAATCCAAGTCCTCCGAGTGTCGATCGTCCCGAAGACGCCGCCGGTCGAGAGGTCCCTGCCACCTTTGGAAGGCCCACTTGTAGTGGATGTGCTCCTGGATTCACAAAGGCCAGAGCCATAGCGTCACTTCGGCAGAGTACCTTTCAACCAAAAAATGGCTAAGAGGGTCGAGCTTTCTTGAAATGATTCAAGCAGAGAGAGAGAGAGAGATACTTATCGGAATTCAACAAATAGCTCGAACATTCAGCATGAGAAGGAACATCGAAAACAGGGACAAATCCCACACTCAAACAGAAAGAAAGCAAGGGCCTTGCTACTCACAAGAATGGTTTGATGGTCTTATAGGGTGGAGGCCATCGCGATGTTTGTGTCTTGGGTCGACTCGCAAAGCCTGCCGCCACTCGAGTCGCGTCCGCTCTGTAGGGCCCAGGATCTTGGCAAAAATGAAACGGCATCTCACAACAGAGTGTTTAAAGCACGAGAAACGCTACCAGGAACAAGTGCCACGCTATAGTAGTAACAGGTGCCTTACTACTAGGAGCAAGGACGCTACTAGGGGCTCCTGGCCTTACTACTAGGAGCAATTATTCGCTGCACAAACAAGTTGGAGAAGGCAGATTCAGTTCAAGGGCCCAACGAAGGGTCGATCTTTTTGACCATGTGCGGGAGGCTCCTTGCAACACGGAAAATATAAGGCATGTCTCCTCAATTGAAATGTTGACAGGTGTACTGTAGTGTACTCAACACACATGCTTTGCTATCTAGCAGTGTTTGCTTGACGCAATGTTGCTGAATTGTTTAGCATAATCTAAACCCTAGGGGATAAGAACTCCCTGGACCTTCCCCTCTGCTTCTAAAAAAGAATCAACAGCCAAAGGACCTTCCCTTTCCGAATGCACATCGGGCATCCTCCAGTGTAGGCCACAGCACGAATGCACCAAAGGATTCCGCCCTCAGAGGCTGCGAGGCACAGGCCACCCGCTGGTTACATGTGTTGCAGCGTCCTCGCTCCTAGTAGCGATGCCAGGAGCCCCTAGTAGCTTCTTGTTACTACTAGTAAGGCACTTGTTACTAGTAGCGATGCACTTGTTCCTAGTAGCGTCTTGTTACTTTAGTAGTAAGGCCAGGAGCCCCTAGTAGCGTCCTATGTGGAAAACGTTCTCCGAACGTCGAAACCTAAGGCAACCCTAAGAAATCCGACATGCAACAAGAAGCTTGGCACTGAAGCCGGAAGTTCGCGGGCAATCTTTTGGGACGGAAGCGGGTGATGGACCTATCCACATGTTCAATCGCACAAAACAACATTTGGAATCCACTTTGGGCATTGCGAAGTTTTGCCTCTAAAAATTGGAGATTTGTCAGATTGAACTCAGCTCCTCGCGCATCGCTGTGGAGGTTGCCTGCGGCGCAGCGGGTGGAAGTCGACTGTGGTGGTTTTCATTAACACTCAGAGTTTGGACTCCCAACGCCAAAACATGAGAGGGCCTCCTCTCCTATCCCTTTGCTCCTAGTAGCGTCATTGCTCCTAGTAGTAAGGCCAGGAGCCCCTACTAGCGTTCTTGCTCCAAGTAGCGATGCCCTTTGCTTCAAGTAGCGTCCGATCGCTCCTAGGCAAGTTGACCTGAAGCCTCCCAAAAATATGTGAGATCATTCTCTCACTCAGGCCATGCCTCTTGGTCCATCAGGCTCCTGAAAGCAGATTCTTGCGCACGCCGGATGCTCATCGATTCACAGACCGGATTGCCAAAACTACTAGTAGCTTCTTGTTACTACTAGTAAGGCACTTGTTACTAGTAGCGATGCACTTGTTCCTAGTAGCTTCTCGTTACTAGTAGTAAGGCCAGGAGGTACAACTAGCGTTTTTGCTCCTAGTAGTGATGCCCTTTGCTCCTAGTAGCTTCTGATTATCGGATTGCCAAAACGATTACCAAAACCTATCGAGTCTCTGCTTGAATTCGACCCATGTGAAAACGGGTGAAACGCACGCACACGCCCATTGCATGTGATCCGCGCCGCTGCACACAAGAGCAAAAGTGAAACAGGAGGAGCACCCCCCCAAACAGGGCATCGAGTCACAGGTATCGACCCAAATCGCCGGTCCTGCCATCGGAATAGTGCCTCTGTGCCCAAGGACATCGCAGCTTCCTGTGGATCTGCGAATGGCCTCATCACCGAAGGCTGACAGGGACGACGCTAGTAGTAACAAGTGCCTTACTACTAGTAACAAGATAAGAAACTATTTTGTTACTAGTAGTAAGGCACTTGTTACTACTAGCGTGGCACTTGTTAGTACTAGTAAACAAGTCGTGGTGGACTTGTTCTCTTTCAACGTAGCCAACAACCTGTTCACGCTTTAACATCAGTCGACGTTGCACACGTTTGCTTAGCTCTACCAGTGACTTGCCAGCCGGCCTGCTGATCCAGTTCACAGCTGCTAACTCGGAAAAGGTTGCCCAAACTCCTGCGCTCCTGAAAGCTGAGAAGGAGAAAAGAGCGAGGAAGCAAAGAGCTGAGAAGGAGGCTTGGACACTCCAGTGAAACTCGTGAAACATATTAAACTACATTGACTTCATAGTCTCCTCACAAGTGTTGTCAAGTCTGCCTGTTTGTTTCACATATCTTAGATTTTGATGTCAAGTTGATGGGTGTTCAATGCCCGAACATCGATGATGCGGGGTGTACGTCTGAAAAAAATAGTTGGTCACCCCAAGAAACCAATCTCGGAGAATGCTAAGATGCACACGCCAACAGCAGGAGGCTCTTCTCAGGCATTTCCTAGCGCCACGACACATATTGGACTCTTGTCTTTTTTTTGGGGGGTGGTAGGGGGTATGCCGTGGATAGAGGTAGCTACTAGTAAGCCATGAAGCAGGACGCTACTAGCTACTGGACGCAGGAGAGCTCACGCTTAGGAAGCTCCACCCGCCGCCCTAATGCTCGGGCACCACTCAATCTCAGGAGCAATATAGCGGCCCAAAAGACTTTGCACAAAGCTCATGAACACGTCTTCTTGAGTTTCCCCTAAAATTTCTTTCTTTCTCGAGCGCCAAGGACGTTTGTCTGCGGCGTAATGCATGAATTTATGTTGCAAACTAATTTAGCTTCTGGCCTTTGTTGCCAAAGTCCTGTCCCATTGTGGCGTCAGTGTCAAAAGAAGCGTTCAAAGCTTCAAGAACATCCTCAAACCACCTAGGAGTCGGACAGGAAACTTCAGGCAAAGGCTGGCATTCAGCACACAGAGCTGCGATCGCCTCGCATAGCCCTGGAGGGTACACCTTCAGTTCTGAAGTCCTCCAGCGACCTTCTGCGTCCTTGCCAATTGCAGAAGCTGACGGAGCGGAGTCGTCCGCTTCCGGAGGCCACAACTTCAGCTGAACAAACATTTAGAAGCAAGAAGTATGGAATCCACCCGCAGATTCTTCTTTGCTTCCTACTTCTTCTCCGTCTCGAACCAGCCAATTTGCAAATCTCCCGTGGGAATGGACAAACATGGCTTCGCTCTTCTCTCAAGCGTCCCACAGAAAGGCCAAATACACCAAGCAAAAGGGCATAGTTCACCAGACAGAGACCTTGGAGAAGTTGGGCTCCTCCTACAGTCTCATATCCTTCATCATCAAAATCTGCAAGCTCCAATAGTCCAATATTGCAGCATGTTGAACAAAATTGCAGCAATAGGAAAAGCTTGACGTGGTCGGTATTGGGCCAGATATACAAATGCTGGCGATCCATAAAATGTCTTTTCAAGGCATAGACAATGCCTGGCAGTTCATTGCAAGCCCCCGCGGCAATTCCTACCCACGACATCAGGAAGGGAGCAAGGAACAAAGTCTCCACAAGGCCAGGAAGATCGAATTGCCCCCATCCAATGGGTGGCATTTCATCCCATGGAGACTGCATGCTCAACCAGAACGAATGGCTATCGATAGCAAAGATAGCCGAAGTCACTTGAAAAAGAAACGGCCATACCCACTGTGCTTTTTGGGCAAGCCATCTACTAACAATCGCAAAAAAGTGGAAGTCAAAACTGAACCCCAGTTCAAAAATCCACTGCAAACCCATCACCTGAAAGCAGGATTCCGAAAAATCTACAAAATCAGGCGAGCCACTCTTCATAGTACTCCACTTCACTTCGGAAGCAGAATCATCGAGACCACTTTCAGTCTAACTCGTTCGAGAAAAGACCAGTGACCTTCTTCTTCCTGGCATCCATTCGAAAAGGAAGCATTGCTGTCCCAGGCTCTCCTGTTGTCATCACTGAAGAGACCCCCTCTTCTTTCGGTAGAGAGACCTGCGCGGCCAGCTGAGTCTGGAAAGCAATCACGAGGTTCCAGAGTTCTGGAATCGTCTGATAACTTGCTGGCTCGGACTTGACAATAGCTATCAGCTGTGCTCGATGAGGTTCCGGGATGGTGGAAATGATCTCCTTCGCTTCCTGCCTCTCTAGATCGAGCACTTCTGCAGCTTCCAGATGGGCTTCCTCGGCACTCCGCTTGGCTGGTGAACGGGAGCGCTCTCTGTGATCCTCGAACAGGCTGCCTTCTCGTTCTGCACGTCGGGGCCTGTGCACCATCTGTGGCGAATTGTTGGCTGGCATTTCCAACCCATTGCTGCTTTTCAGGGCCACCACTAGGCTTTGCACTTGGTTGGCCAATTCCATATTCCTCTGTTCCATCGATTGAACGTATGAGGCCATCTGGATCATGTTTTGCTTCATAGTATCCATCTCTTGGGCGAGGCGCTGGTTGGCCGGATTGTTGGACGAGCCCTCGTCCATCTCGTAGCGACCCTCCTTTTCGTCCTTCTCGACTGTCTTCAAGTCGACCTGCAGCTGGTGGATCTCTTTCTGGAAACGGGCCTCTTCCTGCTGTATTCCCGTGTCCATACCTGTCTTCCAGGCCGCATAGCGCTCCTCTTGCTTCACAATCTCGGCCTTCAACTTCTCGACTCTTGTAAGGGCCTTTTTCTCCTGGTTGAGTTCCTTCTGCCTTTGTCGTAATTCTGCACGAGGGTCTACCGCTATCAAGCTCTTGACTGCTGCCGGAACTTCTTCTGGCTCTGGCGTCTTGCTGAGGAGATACTTGACAGCCTCTTTCAGGACCTTGTTCTCCTCTGCAGCTGAAGCCGGCGATGAGGAAGACGACAATGCAGAACCAGGCTGCTTGATTTCTACCTTTCTTCCATCGTACCCTATCAGGACGTGTTTCTCCTGTTGCTGGTCTTTCGAAGCTCGATCTTTTTCCTTCTTCTTCTGCTGGCCCTTGGAGAGATCTTGATCGTTCCAAGAGGCTTTCCATTGCTCGGCCTTGGAGTTCTGCCAACGTTGATTCTTCCATGACATGTCCGTCAAAAAGGGCACCAACTGATAGGCAGCTACTCTATAGCGCGGAGCACTGTGATGCGATTCAAGGCACTTCAGCGCCC